GTTAAATTGTACTGTACTTTATTATATAATATATATTTTAAAGATATAAGCTCATCCCGATGTTACACTCATCAAGAGCTTTCATTTGAGTACCCACATGCATTTTTGATATATTTTTCATATATACATATATATGACATGTATAAATATATATGAAATTTATGAAAAATTGAAGTGGGTACTCAAATGAAAGGTCTCGATGAGTGTAATGTCATGGTGAGCTTATATTTAAAAAAATGTCAATTTTTTTTCTGTGTAAAATAATAATAAAAAAAATATAATTACTTTTATTAAATTTGGTAGTGTAAAATACTTTCTCCAGCTATCTTGACCGCCTGCACACCAGCTTACACCTCGAGCTTCAATAAATGTGCCGATAGCAAATTCTTCTAATGCACCACTGGCCGCAACTAAAGAATCACCCAATCCGCCGATTACATCAATGTCTCCTGGTCGCAATTTGTGAACACTGTCAGGTGGAATTGGTGACCTAGAAAATATTTTTTCCTTTTTAATTAACAAAGACAAAGAAAGCATTATTTATTTATCAAAAAACACGACCAATAATAACAATTATCGAAGACACATAAAAAATTACAGAAATAATAATACTTTTGATAAAATTTTTTTGATTACCGCGAAATCGATTGAAAGCGGTTTCATTCATTTCAAAGATACAGTACACAGCAAATCGGGGTTACTTGAGCCTGCAGCATAACATTGGCCTATTTTTTGTGATAAACGTTTTTTGTTTGCTTCTTTACAAGATGATAAATATTGAAGGTCATCCCTGTAAATAAATACGACTTTCTATCTTTTTATACAAGGCTCAGTTTAAAAAAATTATAATTGTCATTAATATCAACAGTGCAGAAGTCAAACGATAGCTCTGTTGCGTGTTAAAATTATAATTTATAAATTTTCAATTTTTCTCAGTATATAAAAAAATGTTTGGTCTTTTAAATATCCATGTTAAAATTTACATTTATCTTTATGGTATTTTCATTCATTATTTCAATATTAGAAAGTTTGAATTTAATTTTACTTTATTTTAATAAAGGTTTTTTCACGTATTTAAATATTTTTTTTTAGAGAGGCGTTTTTTAAAGTTAAACTGATAAAATAATTTATGAATATTAATTAAAGATTTTTTTTTTATTAATAAATTATTTATTAAATGAGATGTTAAGAAATAATTTGATTAAAAAATGTTATTTTAATAAAATAAACACGCGAATTAAATGAAATAAACCAAATCAAAAGATTTGGTTGAAAGTAATCCATATTTAAAAAAAAACAAATTTTTTAATATTAAATCTGCATTTTTTAATTATTTTAAATAAATCTACAAATTTAAATCAAACAAACTCTTTTTTCTTAGAGTTATATTTCAAAAATCTACAACTCTAAACTTTATCAACGCTCTTACTCATGAAATAATAAAAATTAACAATTTTGCAGTCACTACGT